AGGTGAGTGCACTTAACTTTTGCAGGGTGGGGAGCAGTCCTGCCTGGCTCTGGAAATGGGTGCAGAGTTGCTCCTGCTTGGCTGCACCAAGTGATGAGGGCTTTGGCTGGGAATGCTGCTTGCTTTATCTCAATATGGGCGTGATGTGCAGGTTTGACTGGCAGGGCGCCAGTGATCCGTAGTTCTCTGTGTCTACTGTTTTTGTACAGTCTCTCCTTCCACTTGGCACTTGGTCTGATTCTTCAGCCTTGTCTTTGATACTCAGAGTTCCAAAGTTGTCATCTATATTTGATTCACTTGATTTCTCAGGTCCTTGCTGTAAGAGGGATTTTATGAGGCACCTGAATATACCACTATGTTCGACCATCTCTATAACGAAAATATATTTTTTAAAGTGTTAATACTCTAAGAGAATTTTATGCCATCAAACAATCTCTGCCAGACAAGGTTATAATGTCCAGTTCTTAAAATCTGGTTTCCTAAAGAAAACTATACCTGGTTCTATCATGATTACAAAAATAATAGTACTTATGAAGTGCTATGCACTGTTCTAAAAACTTTATATATATCATTAAATGAATAATTGCTTTTATAAGCATCAGCACAAAGCTGGTTCCTATGAGGCGGAGGCTAAAGATGTTCCAGATGTCCAAGTTTTCCAAATTGCTGTACCACTCCATCATCTCTAACATCAACTACTACTCCCCTCAGTTCTCTACCTCCCATCTTTGGGTACTGTAATTCACTGCAACGTCTCACAGACCTCACGAACTGCATCAAGGAAATGACTCACATGGTTGTGGAGGATGGCAAGTCCCAAATCTGTCAGTCAGGCATAGGCTTCTCCTGACCTACGTGGCTGCAAGGGCTCACAAGACTAAACCAGCAGGTCAGACCCCAGGCTGCTGGCTCACAAGGCTGTGGAAGCTGGTAAATCAGGTCAGACAACAGGCTGCCCAGAATCGGCAGGTCGGATAACAGGCTGCTGGCTCAAGTCCCAAGAACTGGAGGTCAGATAGTGACCAATCAGACACAGGATGCAGACGCAGAGAGAGAGAGCCCTGCCAAAGCACCTGTATATATTCGTTGGATACAGACCACACCCCAGGGAAGGGCGTAACTTGAGTCATGGTGGGACTTGAGTCAGGCCCTCCTGCAAGGCTGTGACTCAAGATACACCCCACACTAATCCTGCCTCATTAACATGTAAGAAATCTGTTGCCACCAAGTCAGTTCTGGCTCATAGTGGCCCTATAGGACAGAGTAGAACTATCCCCTTAGGCTTTCCCAGGAGTGGCAGGTGGATTTGAACTGCTGACCTTTTGGTTAGCAGTTGAGCTCTTAACCACCGCACCAGCAGGGCTCATTAATATATAGAGGTTAGGATTTACAACACATAAAATGGAGAATAATTACGATAATTACATCAGATTACAAAATGGAGGACAATTATACAATACTGGGAACTGTGGCCTAGTCAAGTTGACATAACCCCAACCATCATAGATTCCATATACCTTATTTGCATAGTCTCACTCAATCATTGTGTGTGATTCACAAAGACCATGGCTAACTGTTGCCATTGGGTTGATTCCTACTCATAGTGACCTTATAGGACAGAGTAGAACTGCCCCATAGGGTTTCCAAGGAGTGGCTGGTGTATTCGAACTGCTGATCTTTTGGTTAGCAGCCAAGCTCTTAACCACTGTGCCACCAGGGTTCCAACTCACCGTACTGCGATCATTTAAAACTGCACAAGAACCGCTTGAAGTAAATACATTTTCTAGGTGAAATAAATGAAGGACGGTAAAGTTAAGCAAAGTGCTGAAATGTTGAAGTTTTCAAACTTGGCTGTGGCTCCAGAGCCCTCAGTCTTAATCTGCATGCTATTTGTCTTCCATTCTAATAGAGAATAGCCAAAAGATGGTACATAGCAATGCTTTTTGATATACGCTTGTAATTCTTATTTATTCAAAATCTTTGGTTCTCAACTTTAGGATCAATCAAAATGACCCAGGATGTTAAAAAGTCAATTCTCAGGCCTGGGCACAGACCTAGAGAATCAGAATCTCTGGGGGGCAGTGCTCCAGGAATGCCTACTTTAACCAGTACCTCAGATTATTTTAATGTTGGTACTTGGTAACCATACTCTGAGATTTGTTGTTCCTGTAGCACTTTGTTTTTCAAAGTTGGCCACAACCATATCTTCCATCACTCATGCTCTGCTAGTTTCTAGCATTTTGCCACTCATTTTTCAAAGGGTAGAGTCCATGTTTCCTACCCTTGAAACTGGGTGGGCTTTTGTGACCAATAAATTACGGCAGGAGTGATGCTATGCATTTCCAAGGTTAGGCCATAAAATGCAATTCAAGCTTCTGATTTTGCTTGCTGCAACACTCACTGTTGGAAGCCAGCCACTCTGCAGTGAGGAAGTCCAAGCTGCCCCAGGGAAAGGCCTACTTGGAGAGGAACTAACATCCAGCACCAACTTGCCAGCCATGTGAGCCATCTTAGAAGCGGATCTTCCAGCCCCTGTGAAGCCAAGCCACACAGGCTAATGCAGCATGGAGCAGAGAACTGTCTTCCCAGGCAAGCCCTGCCCAAATTGCAGATTTGAGAGCTAAAAAAATTATTATTATTGTTTTAATTACTATGTTTGAGATGGTTTGTTAATGCAACAATAGATAAGTAGAACAGTACTCTTTTAATGGAGCCCCTGGGTGCAGACAGTAATGCTGGACTGCTAACCAAAAGGTTAGAAGTTTGAGTCCACCTAGGGGCGCCTTGGAAGAAAAGACTGGTGAAAACCAGCCATTGAAAACCCTATGCAATCTTTAAACCTTAAACCAAAAATATTCCCTGAAGTCTTCTTAAAACTAAGCGATAGTTTAGCTTAACTGGAAAAAAAAAAAAGTCTGCCTTGAGCATTATGCTCTTTTAATAAGTATCTATATGGGATCAAATTGACATCAGCAACTTAAAGGCTTAGATAGGAAACTTAGGGGGCAGTGAATTTATGTTAATGGGAGAAGAACAACTCAGAAAAGGAAGGTGAGAAGGGTCGCATGACTGGAAGGATGTAATGTCACTAAATAATTCATGTACAAACTGTTGAATTGGTGTATGTTTCGCTGTGTATACTCTCAACAACAACAAAAATAAATAAAATTAAAAAAAAAAGAAAACCCTAGGGGCAGTTCTACTGATATCCATGGGGTTGCCACGAGTTGGGGTTAACTTGATAGCAATTGGTTTACCTTCCCCACTTCTTCTAATTATAGAACCACCCATTTTAGACTTTTGATTATTTGAAGTTCTTATTATCAAGTTCTCAATATCAAAATATTGTATTGCTACCTGCTGTCACCGTTCCCCAAATCCAAATCCTTCAGTTCAGTCAGGTGGGGCTCATTATCGCCTCTGGGCCTTAGTTTCACATCTAAAAAGTACTGGTAATAACAGAGCCTACCTGATATGTTTTATAATTGAGATAATCCATATATGCCTAGCACACGTTTCTCTTATACTTATTGGATGTCATGCGTTCGTATTCCCAGTTTCTTTAATGCACTATCCTCCTTTCCCTCCAATCCCCCAGCTCAACGCCATTTCACAGGTTATTTCCTGTGCCTTTCTTACCAAGTCTGTCTGTTAGACTCTTACTACGACTCCACTTCTGCTTTGGGAAGAATTCCCTGAGTTCTCAAGCAGTTAATGCCTCTCTGTGCTCAAACAACACTTGTACAAATTAGAATGAACAAATCTGTCTTGGAAGAAGTACAGCCAGAATGCTCCTTAGAAGCGAGGATGGTGAGACTTCATTTCGCAAACTTTGGACATATTACCAGGAGGGACCAGTCCTTGGAGAAGGACATCATGCTTGGTAGAGGGTCAGTGAAAGAAGACTCTCAATGAGATGGATTAACACAGTGGCTGCAATGATGTGCTCAAGCATAACGATTGTGAGGATGGCACAGGACCCCACAGTGTTTCCCTCTGTTGTACATAGCGTCGCTATGAGTCAGAACCAACTTGTTGGCACCTAACAACACAAACCTCTACTACAGCCCTTAACACACTAGAGTTTAATTGTCTCTCTGCTCCACTGGAATCTTAAATTCCTGGAATGTAGGGTCAGTCTTTTCTTCTTTGTATTCTCGTTCTCTAACATAATGCCTGGCACATCTTCATTCATTCACCATCTCCGGTCTACATTACTGTGATGGGAAATAGTGTGGTGATTAAGAGCCCATGTTTTGGCTGACCTGCTTGGGTACAAAACTGCTCCACTTTCTCCTGCAAAACCTTGGGAAAAGTTAGTTAACGTCTCTGTGCCTTACTTGTAAAGTGGAAACAGCACCTTCCCCTTAAATTGCTGTGAAGATGAAATAAAACAATGCTTGTAAAAAGCTCATCATACAGAAAGCAATCTATTATCAGGATGTTATTAATGCTTCCTAACAATTCCATTTTCGGGTACTCCTCGCCCCCCTCCCCCAATCCTCTTTTAGGGCCCTCGAATTCTATGAGTAATCACCCTTTCAGGGATTATTGTGGGCTCTCCAATCCTCCCAGGTCTTTCGTCAAGATAGCAATCTCAGTCTCAACCACTAGGTCCAGGCGTTGAGAGTCATTCTTCCCACCCCCAAACTCGCTGCACACCCTTTTCCTTTTAGCTCGCCTCGGGTCTAAGCGGTGTGTCAAAGAAGTACGATTTAGGCGAAATTTAAATATCAAAATACCGTGGCAAGGTTTTCCTGGATAACAAGCGAGACCCACAGTTAGAAGCTTAGCTATTGAATTTCGGTATTCCCTTTCCTTTGAGGAAGAAACCCAAGGGTCATTCAGACCGCAATGGTTCCCTGCAGCGCCAGCCTGGCCGCACGCAAGGCAGGAAAGTTGGCTGAATGAACGAATGAATGAATTGGCGACGGTGGCAACAGGGCTTCTGTTACGTCGCCGACTGACGCGGGCTCGGCCGCGGATAAGAGGCCTGCGAGGCGCAGGTGGCCGAGCCCTATCGCGGCGCGGACGGCTCGGCCACAAGCGCCGCACCTCCGCGCCTCCCGCGCCATCTCCCTCAGGTCCCTGCCCCACCGCGGCGCGTCACTTCCGCAACCCCTTGGCCGGGGTTGGGGCGGGGAACCTGGGGAAGGGGGCCAGGTCCGAAAGAACCCGCCCGCGCCGGAGCCCGCGCCCTAGCCCGGACTACATTTCCCGAGGGGCCCAGGCGGCGGCGGCGGCGGGCGCGGCAACGTCCCCCGGAAGTGGAGCCCAGGACTTCCACTCGTGCGTGAGGCGAGCAGTGCCGGAGACGAGACCAGAGGCCGAACTCGGGATCTGACAAGATGGCTGGGCTTCCCCGCAGGATTATCAAGGTAACCGCCCAGACCAGTCCCTGGCTCCCCGCTTTTTCCTTGCCCGCTCGGCGGGGCAGGCAGTGCGGCCCTTCGCCTCATCCGGCCTGAGATCCGCGCTGAGAGGCACGAGGCAGCGCCAAGGGGGTCTGGCCGCGGTGGTGAGGGAAGTCAGGGTCTGGGGAGGGGGCGCCGGGGAGACTTCCGGCCGCGGCTGGGTAGCCCGGTGGCAGGGGTCGGGGACTTCCAGGCGGGCGCCCCACGGACGGGGGAGGCCTGGCCCGCGTCCCGTGGAGGGTGGGGCCGCGGGGTTGCAGGGCTCTGGTCTCCGGCACCGGCTTCCGCGGCCTCTCAGACCACCTCGGGGTGGAGGCCGCGGGCGCGCGGGAATCGCGGGGGGCCCAGACGCCTGGCAGGGGTTGTGGCCCAACACGGCTGCTCCGTACTGCACCCCCCTCTCGCCCGAGCTCCGGAGCGCTGGGCATCTGGTAGCTCCAGGTTCAGAATGAATGAACCAGAAAGGTGAGGCCGGGCGGGCCCTGCGCCCCGGGAGGCGGCTCCGGGCGGGCCTCGCGTCCTGCTGCTGCTGGCACACGTTCGCCCCCGGCCGCCGGGGTGCGGGGACATGGGAACGTCTGCTCGGCCGGCAGCGGTGCTAGGGCCCTCCTGGCCTCTCTTCCGTGGTCGTCTCTCTTAAATACGTTTCCGCTCGTTATCTTTGCGAAATGATTTTACTCTGGTTGGCAAACTCTTTCAGAGCTGTTTCTATTCAGAGGAAATAGTTTAATACCACACTGAGGGGAGAGCTGCATTTATGGGGGACTTTGTGAAATCTTTTGCCTCTCGATTTTGTGCACTTTAAGTCGTTTTTCGGCTCTTTATGAATACTATGACAAGTATATGAGAAATTCGGCGTCTTTTTTGTTCTGTAAATTTTTAACTTAATATCCCCAAGGCCTCAGATGTCAGATATTTCTTGTAATCCACAAAAATGTAAGCTTGGAATTTTATTGTCAGCTTTTATGAAGGAAGTTAGTTGAACGTCAGTGTTGCTCAGTATGCCAATTAAAGTGACCAAATTACAGCATCGTTTTGTTTTGATATAACCTGATCAGCTTGTATTTAGTCTAGTTTGTTCTAAAGTTTTGAGGGCGATGTATACTAAGTGAGGGACTCCGTTAGGCTTTGAAGGGTGATGTATAGTGCTTGTGCACTTAAATATATCTGAAACGGGGGTGTCTGGCCCAAAGGTGTTTGATTTAGAGAAATAAGTTATTTACGCAACTATTTTATAAGGGAGAAGTTCTTAGAAATTAGGGAGGTAGAACAGATAGAACCTTCGGATATCTTTTGGGGTACAGTCATGTGTCGCTTAACATTTGTGATAATACTCTGTAAAATAGGACTTTATGTGATTTGGATGTTGCCCGAACACCATGCGATACAGGCAGTCCTCTGGTTACGAACGTCCGATTTACGTACAACCTGTAGTTAGGAACTAATCCCCGTAAAGCCTATTAAAAATTAGTTACAGTGGTTCGTAATAACGATTGGAGCTACTTTGCTACATGCATCAAAACAATAGTATGTTAAGGATGTTATATCTGCTACTTCCTGTTTCTCTGATCGAAATTTCTGAACTCTATTATAACCTTATGGGACCAGGGACATGTATGCCGTTGGACGTTGCCTGAACGGACACTATGCAGTCCATGACTAATGTGCACTGGAGTCTAGTAATTGTGTACTTTTAGAATGCAAAATTTGTTGTGTTATGGATTTTTCTTGGACTGTGTTTTAGTTATCTAGTGCTGCTGTAACAGAAATACAAGTGATTGGTTTTGACAAACAAATTTATTTTCTCACAGTTGAGAAGCCTAGAAGCGGAATACCGAATACTGAATTTTAGAAATCTGAATACTGAGTACAGATTATCAGCTGCGGGGGAAGGCTTTCTCTCTCTGTTGGCTCTGGAGGAATGTCCTTGTCTCTTCTGAGCTTCTGCTCCTGGGTGATTTTCATGTGGCTTGGCATCTCTTTCCCCATCTCTGCTTCCTTGCTTGCTTATTTAATCTCTTTTATATCTCAAAAGAGGTTGATTCAAGACACACACTACACTAGTCCTATCATTAACATAACAAAGACAGCCCATTCCCAAGTGGAAGTATAACCACAGAAATAGAGGTTAGGAATTATAGCACATGTTTTGGGGGGGACACAATTCAATCTATAGTGTTGTCCAAGGTGGTGTAATTGTTACATGCATTGCAGGGTACTTACAATGTGATTTTAGTTATAATGCAGATGCATGGCCCCCAGTGATCATTTTTTTGAGGCCCAGTTAAATAATAAGGATGGGAGATGATAGAGGTATACCCCAGATATCCTTGAGTTTATATTTACTGTGACCCAGGTTTATTAAATATGTAATACAAATTGATACTCAAGAGTATTCTCAAATTCAAAATTAACTGAAGATTTAACATGTATTTCTCCTTGGATGGAAAATTTAATTCTGTGGCACCTTGTTTATAAACTTACAAAAATGATTTAAGTTAGTAAGTTGAAGTCCTCTAGTTCAATGCATTTGGCACACAGTAATTGAATTTACATTAGGTTTTTTCACTTTACTGCTTAAACCAGGAGCCCTGGCAACGGAGTGGTTAAGAGCTTGGCTGCTAACCAAAAAGGTTGTCAGTTCGAATCCACCAGTTACTGCTTGGAAACCTTATGGGGCAGTTCTGCTCTATGCTATAGGGTCGCTATGAGTTGGAGTCGACTCAGCAGCAACGGGTATTTAAACCAAGACTGTGATAACTCATGCTGTAATATATAATCTTAATTTTATAGTATCTTGTTGATAGCATCTCTCCAATGAATGGTACCTTGATAAGAGTTTTAGCCTGTAAAAATTATAGATGGTTTTAGTTTAATGTCATTTATAGCTTAAAAGGACTGTTTACTCCAATCTCTAAAGATTAAAAGATTATATTATTTTGCTAGTGCTTCTGGCTTATATTATGTAGGTTGTTGTTCCATAATGAGTGAAAATATTTCTTTAATTTTTATATCAGAATTTATTTTAAAAGTTTGCCTCTTCTCTGTCAACCAACTATGGCGGAATATAATGGTGTGTGGGTAGTAGCTCTGTTGTCCTCAGTTAGTTGGGGACATACCATTATTTCATTGGACTGATAATTTATTTTTTGGTCCCTTTGACTTTCAAAGGATGAAATTTAGTGTTGATTTTAATATCAGTGTCATTATTCTAATTGAATGGAAATAAAATATGGAGGCTTGATTTGGACAACTGTTAATATACTGTCTACCTTATAATGGTCATTATTTACATTTGCAGAGTTCTTCATATGTTCTCTCCTTGTAGAAATCAATAGACAGTACATTTTATAGTCTAGAAACTGATTCAAAGGACTTTCCTAAGGTCTTGAAACTTTTGAGAGGCAGAACTTGAATCTTCACTCAGTATGACCTTAATGTATGTAAAGATATGACCATTGTAAAATAACAGTAAATGCAAGATTATTTTTTGAATCCCTGTTCACCCAGTTGCTATCTCAGATTCCTATGTCCAATCTAATAACAAATTCTGTAGGCTCTACTTTCAAAATACATCCTGAATTAGATAGGTTTCCCCATTTCTGTCAAACAGCAGTCCAATTTCACCATTTCTGTTACGTGGCCAACTGTATTAGCCTCTTTCTAAGCAAAGGTAATGTTATCTTTTTAAACTTTAGATCGTGTCACTCCTGTGCTGAGATTTCTGCCAAGATTCCCTGTCACGCTTAGAATAAAACGTTTATTTTTTCCCCTAGCTACAGGCCATGCATGAATCGGGCATCTACCTACTTCTGAGCGTATCTCCTGCACTTCTCTGCTTGGTTCACTTCATTGCAAGCCACACTGTTGCTTTCCTGTACCAGGAACAATCAGTGGCTAAGCTTGTTCCAGTCACAGGGCTTTCCTCCTGTCCACTGCATTGCTTGTTTTGTCGTAATGTTCAGTTCTCAATTTGTGTCATATCCTCAGAGAAGTCTACTCTTAACTGCCCTGTATAAAACACAGTAGCTTCCATACCTCTCCATAGCTTCTCTTTATCCCCATATCTTCTCTTCTTTATATCACTTATCACTGCTGGAAGTTTTATTATTTGTCTTTTAATACTCTCTTTCCCACCAAAGCGCCATGAAGGCCAGGACTCTTAGGTGATTTGGGCATTGCTTTAATGCCTTAAACAATTAATTCCTGGCACATAGTAGGCACTGGAATATTAATTGATTGAATGAATGCATAAATAAGCTTTAATCTCTTTGAAAGAAAGTTTTGGAAGACCTGGTATTCTATAAATAATTCAACATTGTTAATGCTTTGTAGATTCTATCTGAATAATTGGAGTTGACACTAATGTCTGAGCTAAATGTTGAAGTTAGTCTTATTTCACCAATATTTCATTAAAAAAATTATTTTGTTGACTAGGAGATATATACATACATAGAGCACTACATTTGAAAGCCTCTAAAGGAGTCCCTTTGCAGAGCAGACAGTTAAGCACTGGAGTACTAGCTGAAAGTTTGAACCTACCCAGAGGCACCTTGAAAGACAGGCCTGGAGATGTGTTTCTGAAAGGTCACAGCCTTGAAAACCTGTGGAGCAGTTCTACTCTGCACACATGGAGTTGCCATGAATTGGATTCGATTCGATGGCAGCTAACAACAATAACAACAAATCGTATATGGAGAAAAGTAAGACTCCCTCATCTGTCCTTCAGCATTCCAGTTCCTGTCCCCAGACACAATCTCTGTTACCAGTTTATTGTGTATCCTTCCAGAAAAATTCGGTGCATATACAACAGTTAGGCCTATTCCCCTTCCCCCTCATACAAATACGTTAACCCCCCCCCCCCGCCCCACACACACACTAATATGTCTTCACACTGACTGATTTTTTAAAGGGCTGCTGTGTGGTACCTTAACTAATTGCTTATTGATTACTTTTAGATCGTT